TGTGTGTGTGTGTGTGTGTGTGTGTGTGTGTGTGTGTGTGTGTTCACGTTGAAGCGATTACTTCGTTATTTGCTGCGGAGGTCTCGCGTGTCCGCGTGCGATCGATTAGAAAAAACGTCCACCAGAGGATCGTACACGCCCGGAAACGGATCCTTCTATCAAAACTCGGTTAGTAGAAAATATCGTATCGCGGTCCTTCGGTGTTCCTTAACAGTGTAAAATGCACGGGACTCGGCGAGACACCCCCTGGGACTGTGCCACGACGGCCGAGTGTCCAAGTGTCCTCGAAGAGAGATACAAAGGTCTCGAGGACATACGAAACGCGCGGTACAAATTCATGAGTATAAAGAGTTAAATCGGTTGCTCTACAGGCGACGAGAGGTGTCATCAGTCGTTGACGAATAATTCCGTTTGGCGATCGCGCTAGTTATGTAAAGTGCAAAATCTCGGCGCGAAATGCCGCCGCTTGTTCCGGAGTATAAAAAAACGCGTGGCCGGCCGAAGAAGCATCGTTCGACCGCGCTCGCGCGCGCGGAACCGTCGGAGGTGTCCCATGGGCTTACAACTGACGCAACGAGATGCAATCTGGTCACCGTGCCGACAACCGTGTTCCCCCGAAAAGATTTTCGCAGCGTTTGTCCGCTTGGTAAAAAAGTCGTTACAAATTCGTACGGTGTATATATTTACAGTCGCAAACATGATAGTAGTTCTCAGCGGAAGCAGTGGATCGGACGAACACGCCAGAGTGTTGGGAGTATGTCGATAGAGAAGTCGATTGTAAAGACCACGGACGATTCTTCGCGATTGTTTCCCCGATGATCGATTTAAGAGAAAAGTAAAATCGTATTGCTCGGAAGGTTGCGCGCTGTTCGAGGTTCCGAAGCTGTTCCGATATTTATGCGAAATTATGCCGGCTGAAAAATGATAAACTCGAAGGTTTCGACGACGAGGCAAGAGCAGGGCCGCGCGCGGGGCGTTCGATCGACGTCCATCGAAAGGGTTCGAGTTAAGCGTGAAGTGTCCACGTCGCGGAGGATTGCTCGGTTCGTACGTTATCATCTAAACATACAGCATCAAAGTCGATATAGTGATATTAACCGTTCATACGTGTTCCATTTATATACATACACACCTATTTACGAGGGTTTATAAAACGCGTTGCGTATCATTGTGTATCTTGTGAACAGCGTTTCTTCTTCGTTCATGCGCGGGAGAGGCTGGCTAAATTGATAAGACGGCAGGACGCTGGGACGCGTTGACTTTTCAACGTCTTCTCTCGGTAACGTAACATGAAAGATTACTCTCTCTCTCTCTCTCTCTCCGAGGTCTAAACGTATTTTTTGTAGACTACTACGGCATTTTAAAAGTGGTTTCAAATGCAAATACGTACGGTTTAAACGGGACAAAATATTGGGTTGTCCGGAAAGTTCGTGCCGATTTTCGGTAGGTAGCGTGAGAGACCTGACTGAATATATCACAATTATTGAAAACAAATGACACGTGTTTACGATTCGTTAATTTTTATCAGTTTTGTACGCCTTAGAATATCGTGGCAAATAAAGTGCATTATAGGCATTTGATGCTTTTCTTTCTCCGAAAGGGCAAAAATGCCACACAAGCGGCAAATAAGATACGCGCTGTTTATGGCGAGAATGCTGTAGCCGAAAGAACCGTGCGGAAGCGGTTTGCTCGGTTTAAAGCTGGAAATTTCGACCATGAAGATCAAGAACGCCAAATTAGCAGGAATGCCAAATAAATCAAAATCAACCATCCACGATCATATTGTGAAGCTTGGCTATGTAAAATCGGCGCGAACTTTCCGGACAACCCAATACAAGAAGATGATTTGTTTGAATTTTCAGTACACGGCAGAGTCCATTAATCAATTGTTTCGACTCGCCGTGTTCTGAATTATCGTTCACTTTCTTGATCATTTATTTCTACGTAATGTCGTGTGAAACAAATCGATGGCTCACCCCCCGGGTACATGGTATATTAAACAGTCAACTCGAACGAAAGTGACAAAAAGTGCATCCTGAGAAACGTATCAACTCGCCACAGCCTCTCCTGCGTGTTGCAAAGTAATTAGGCTCATGCATACGAAATGTCGCTTTACAGAGAATAATAAAATAATTCGAACGAAAGTCGAGACGACAACGACTTTCATTACGGTGTTTACCATGTTTCCCGGCTTGTTCTCTCGTGACCTTAAAAAAAATACTTTCATTTCCTCGTAAATTGACTTTGAACAAGGTATCGGATAAAATTTCGAACAGAGATAATATTTGAGAACGACTACGCGAACGATAGTTAAGAATATAGTTTCCGTTTAAAATAGAAGCTAAAACAAGCAGCATTTAGACAGTACGTATATAATCTTCTACGAAGCTAATTTTCAAACATATTTCTTCCCCTGCGCTGTGATAAAAAAGAAAAAAGAAAGAAAAAAACAATGAAGTGTCCCGAACACACGGTGACACAAAGTCGAAATAAATAATCCTATATTTCCAAACGTGATAGCTTCGAACGTATTAACAAATACGTGTTGTAACCCGACACGATATTTCATATGCAACGACCCAAATATCCTGGCTACAATAGTCTTCGGTGAAACAGTTTCGACGTTTTCGTCATCAGATATTCGTGCGCACAGCTGTTCCGTTGTGATAGAAAACAAGCGAGAAAAGTCCGTCGTTAACTTGGTCGGCGGACACCGCAGATACAGCTAAAGCCTACTTAACTCCGGAATTGATATTCGCACAGAAAAGAATGGCGCGAGCGCGCGGCGGTTTCGTGCGTGTCTCTTTCAATTCGATTGGCTCACGCGTCCGACCGCGTCCCAATGGTCTACACGATTTCCCGCGAAGAAGATCGCTCGCAAAGGCCGACGCTCTCTCCCACCCGCCGGTGAACGGGAAACGAAATTAGGAGCTTAAGACTTATATATCACATCCTCAATATGTGCGGCAGTGTTTCCCCTTACGTTCTAGTTGAATGGCCGTTGCTAAATCGCCGGTTAAGACAGATGCTTCGACATCGGACTCGATAATCTATAATTCCGATCGCCGGTGGTCCTCTTTCGCTTTCTCGTTCCACCGAAGTTCTCTCGCTAAAAAAATTCTCTATTAGGACACCGGGCGCCGAGGCACGAGCACACAGCCCCGGCGCGGCGTTCGCGACCATTTTTGTTTAATTGGCAGTAATCCGATCAGACTTTCATCCTCGAACTCCTAAATATACATCGATTTATCCTACAACGGCCGCGGCTGGTAGATACAGGATTCACAGACAAGCTGATTTGCCATGCAAACTCTGGGCGACGTATGCGAACACGAAGCCGTCGATCCCCCTTTTTCCTCCTGTTGCCCGAACAACGGAACGTTATCGAACGGTGTCAAACTGAAAAGGACGATGAACGCGCGCGGACTCGATTACTAGGACCTCGAAGAAACGGTGACCGAATCACAGAACAAAGCGAACTTCCCTCCGCGCCCTTTCTCAGTCCTTCCACCAACTGCACAGACAACAGTACCATCGCCTTTCGGGACGGGGCTGAATTATCTGCTATTGTCAGTGCATCGCTCTGGTAGTGGTCAGATGCGTGGTCTCCGCCCTTTTCGGCGGCGGCGGCGGCGGTCTTCTCTTGTTGGCGATGGCGTTCACGATGTTGATGCTGCGATTCTCGTCGGCGAACCTGACGGTCGGCTGCCGGGCCGGGCTCGAGGCGTACTCCACCGGAGCATGGGGATCCGTTGTGTACACGTTCTCGTAAAGGTTGTCGGCCCCGTAGTGCTCCTGCACCCAGTTCGACACGTTCGTCTCCCGATAGTCGGCGACGGCGGGCGGCGGATCGCGGAAGCCGAGGACCTCGTGCGGGGTGGTCGTCGTGTCGAGTTTACATTTCTGCGCCACCTGCCACTTCTTCCTCATCACCCTCTGGAGATCCTTCAGGAAATCGCCGGGCGGAGCTTGATCCGACGCGGCGAGCTTCTTAGGAGACGTGAGCCTCGTGCTGTCCGATCTCCTCGGCGGCATCGGTTTCCTTTGCGGCAGAGCAGGGCTGCCGGGTTCTTGCTGAGGCGGCAGATTGAACGTGATCTTCTTGCCGGTCCCGGTCTTCGACTTCGGCGAGGTCGGCGGCTCCTGAATGGTCACCCTGCGCTGCGGCTGCGGGCTGGACGCCGCCTTCAGCTCCGCTAGGTAAGGCGGAGCCGCGTAATGACTCGAGCTTTGTTTCATGGCACTGCGCCGCACGGTGTCCATGTTCGGGTTCGGCCTGATCGGCTGGACCGTCGAGTGCGGCAGGGAATGAGTCCCGTATATCGACTCGGCTTTCGAGTTTTGCCTGGTCAGGCTCTGCGAGTTGCCGTGCTGCTGCTGCTGCTGCTGTTGCTGCTGTTGTTGTTGCTGGGATCCGTAAGCCGGCGGAGCAACGAACGGCGGAGGCGAGGCGAAGTTCGGCGAACTCGGCCCGTAGGTCGGCGTCGTGCTCGCGCTGGACCCTGGATACGAGCTGTGCGACGAGGCAACCGAGTTCGCCGCGTTGTTCGCGTGCAGAGCATTCTGCGCGTTCATCCCGTAACCCTGGCTGTTCTGGACCGCGACGTTGTTCTGCATAGCGTTGTTCTGCATCGCGCTGTTCTGTATAGCGTTCGCGTACATCTGCTGGTTGCTGGACGATCTCGAAGCGGCGTGCGTCGGCGTGCTCTCCGGCGTCACTGAATTCGTGGGCGTCGACTGTTTCGGCCTTGCACGCCGGATCGTGCCCGTTTCGCCTACCAGAGGACTCGGAGGCGGCGGAAGCGACGCGAGGCTCAACGATGAACCGGAGAGCTCGGGCGTGTTGCAGACTGGGAGCTCGCCGGGCGCCGGAGGTGGCGGCAACGAGTCCAGGGAGAGATTCGATCGGAACATCTCGGGCGGAGGCGGCGGAAGCGGTTCGTTATCCGACTCTGTTTCCTCGGCGACCCTGGATGGCGACGGCGGCGGTGGAAGCGAAGTGATCGAATCCATCTGTGGAGCGCGTTTTATTCGATAAATAAATGGTTACGGGCGTCTGGATTACGTTCCAGAAGCGACTCGAGCTTTGCCAACTACGTACCATGGAGGGTGGAATAGGACTCGTAGGTGTCTTCGATTCTTGGCTCTCCGTTCGGTTGTATCCCATCGGGCTGGCTCTCTCTCTGACCGGTGTGCCAGGCGGTACAGGGCTGACCGGGGTCGCGTTGCTGGACCGGTGGTGTCTCTTCAGCGTTCCGGACCCGTCGGAATCGGTGCCGCTCCTCCTACGACTGTGTCTTCTGGTCAGCGTGCCGGATCCCGAACTCGTAGGACTCGGACAGTCCGGCTCGTCCCGGACAGTTTCGCCAACTTCCTTCAGCTGCCGCGTGATCGACGTGAGAGGCAGTTTCGGGTTCATCGAGGGTTTTCGTTTGATCGTTCCCGTCGGGAATTCGCCGCACTCGAAGGCTACCTACGGAAGAATCGAAGAAAAGAGACCATGAAACGTCGCGATTCGATCTTCATACTCTACGAGAAAGTTCATTATTAAGCGATTAAGTACCTCGCAACTGCTTGGCGCTCCATCCGACAAACAGCCGCTGGAGCTCGAGCTGCTGGCTCTGCTCAGTCTCCCGTCGTTGTTGTAACTCTGTCGTTGCTCGGAATTGTAACTCTGCCTCTGGGCGTCGTACTGTCTAGCGTTGACCGTCTCCGTGCCGTTTCTCGAGTTTTCCGTGAACTGGCGGGCGTTGTCGTTGCTGGTGTTGTACTGAGTTTGATTCTGTGGCGGCACGGCGATCGAGCTGACCGAACACGATCTGGCATGCGCGAGCATGTCGAGATCTTCCTGCGCTAGTTCGTCGACCAGGGTCCTGTAATTCTCCATCAGCTGTCTGCCGTATTTGGCCACTCTGATCCCGACCATCCATCGTTCCAACGACGCGTTGTCTTCCGCGCACAGGAACTTGATGTACTTGGTCGATTTCGGCTGCTGCAGCCTGGGATGCTTCACTGCGAAGCAGAAATCCGTCGGCGCTTTATACTTCTTCTTCCAACCGACGCCGTAGTAGATCTGATTAACGTCGAATGTCGCCAGGCAAACCAAATCGCGCGCGGTCCGAGCCTTCTCCTTCGGCCAGTAATAGAGGCCGGAGGCTCTTAGGATGAAGTGATACCTTTTCCAACCTTTCTTGCTGTCCGATTTCAAATACAACGGGCCCTCGACCTAAAATTTAAAGCAACCAACGCGTTAGCAAGCTTAGTTTGTTACTCGTTCCATCCATTTCAATACTATTTAACCCTTTGCACTCCGCTGTCCCCTCTCGTGGGACATCGTAATTCTAGCATATCACTCGGATGTCCCCTCTCGTGGGACATTCAAGTTTATTAGCGATTACGGGGAATTCAGTTATTTCAGCGCAACTTTTCCAGACATGCATGTTTCCCTGAAGTTTTCCCTTGAAATGGCACAAGAAGTCAAATCAAAATATAGTAAAATTACTAAGATATATACAAGAAATGTCAGCGGGTTCTGATGAGAACGTGAGAGGCGTGCTCACGACGGTCCGAGCACTTCAAAGGCGTCATTTGAAAAGAGCGATGAGGCAAGTTTGTATAGTGAGATTTATAATCATAAAATCTGGAGGAAAAGATTTTCAAAGCTGAACTCAGTCTGGTTTGAAGCATCGAGCGGTATAGATAGATCTAACGAGTGAGAAAGTCGGAAAAGTGATTCTTCTCTTGGTAAATAAATTGTTTGGTAAAAGTTTTTTTAAAGTAAAAAAGTTTTTTTGGGGAAGTATACTAGTTTGAACCGGTGTCTGTATGATCACCTGTCACCCTCGTTGTACCCATGGTCTCAATTACATTATACTTTTAATAGGTAGATTTAACCGAATTAAACCACGATTACCAATTCCAATTCGAATATACATTGATATTAATCTATTATGTACAGCTACGTCAGGCTAAACGTATTTTTCAGGCAGAAAGTAATTTGCTAGATTAGTGTTAGATTTGAACACTTGGACGACCGCTCACGAGTTTTTCTATTATCACTTTTCTCTGAAAATTGTCTGTCCTGACAACAATTGCTAAGTATTACAAAATATTAGATCAAACTCGCATGTTGCAGGATTTAGTGTGTATACATACATCTTGAGCTTGCAGAACACTGTCTGCTATTTTCATAATAATTTCAATTTCAAGAAAATTAAGCTCCCTTGAATAATGTCAAGAAATACCACTAATTTGTGTATCGACTATACTGGAATATCATGCAGACGATTTGTCCGATATATCCAGCGACAACGATTGTAATTCTATTACTGATTCTGAAGACGGTGTGCATGATGGTGACTATTTAGAAAATTTTGAAGAGTGCGACCGAAATAGTAATAGCTATGCAACTAAATATTAGGTCCACCGGAAAGTTCTGTCCGATAGTGTCACTTCAAGTTTCAATCCATATGCACATGTTGATTTGAGACATATACGGCTATCTCTCTTTATCATTGCATTTACACGCATGTACTCTCCTAAATAAACTGAAACAAAGATGTCTCGTGTCATTATTAAGCGAGACGCGATCGTGAAAACATGGCTACCGATGATAATGCCAGACCACATGCTGCTTTGGCGACTCGTCAGAAAATCGCAGAGCTAGGCTGGGAAATTCTGTCGCATCCACCATACTCCCCAGACCTAGCACCCTCCGATTATCACTTGTTTCTCTCTTTGCAAAACTTTTTACAGGAAAAAGAATTCAAAACCGAAGCTGATATCAACCAAGCACTGGTTGAGTTCTTCGTCTCTAAAAATAAATCATATTTTAAAAATGGCATTTACAAATTGCCATCACGCTGGCAAGAAGTCATAAGTAACGATGGAAAGTATATTCTACAATAAATATTATTAAATGTATAAAGATTGTGTTATATTTCAATTGAAAAACGGACAGAACTTTCCGGTAGACCTGATACTTAATTGATGTCACAAATATTTAATAAATATTTAGGATATAGATTTTACGACAAGAATCCGAAATGCTTCGTTCAAATCAATACTTTCTTTATTTCTCGCGAAACGAAACGTTTGGATATTATTGCGTTTATACTTGCATTTGAGATATGTGCATTGTTGGAAGCAAACGGATGTTAGATGTTCCAGTTACATTAATATTTTTCAGANAATTCTGTCGCATCCACCATACTCCCCAGACCTAGCACCCTCCGATTATCACTTGTTTCTCTCTTTGCAAAACTTTTTACAGGAAAAAAAATTCAAAACTGAAGCTGATGTCAACCAAGCACCGGTTGAGTTCTTCGGCTCTGAAAATGAACCATTTTTTAAAAATGGCATTTACAAGTTGCCATCACGCTGGCAAGAAGTCATAAGTAACGATGGAAAGTATATTCTACAATAAATATTATTAAATGTATAAAGATTGTGTTATATTTCAATTGAAAAACGGACAGAACTTTCCGGTAGACCTGATACTTAATTGATGTCACAAATATTTAATAAATATTTAGGATATAGATTTTACGACAAGAATCCGAAATGCTTCGTTCAAATCAATACTTTCTTTATTTCTCGCGAAACGAAACGTTTGGATATTATTGCGTTTATACTTGCATTTGAGATATGTGCATTGTTGGAAGCAAACGGATGTTAGATGTTCCAGTTACATTAATATTTTTCAGAACAACGTGTTCATACTTTTATAAATGAAGTAACAAATAATTAATAGAAATTTAGACAGATGAAATATTATTTCAAATAATTATTTCGAGCCGATTTTAAAAACATACTATTCCAATTAATAATTTTCTTTACCACCACATAAAGAACTATTTTCGATACATGTACCTATCTCTGCGACTCCAAATCATTTTTTTAAAATGGCATTTGCAAGTTGCCATCGCGCTGGCAAGAAGTCATAAGTAACGATGGAAAGTATATTCTACAATAAAAATATTATTAAATGTATGAAAATTGTGTTATATCTCATAATTCAAAAACGGAGAGAACTTTCCGGTAGAGCTAATATAAGATCAAGTGAGCTCGAACAATCGGAAAATGAAGATGTTCGGATAAAGAAGAACAGAACCATAAATCTAAAAGCTTTTGAAGGCAATTCTGGGGTAACAATTTAACCAGAATATGTTCAAAGCATGCCGCAATGCGCTGCACTGTTTCTGGTCTTAGAGTAAGCCTATGAGTAATAATATGCTGTCATTTAAGTGTATTAATTTAGCACACATAGATTCACGACTCTACGAGCTCTGAGCGCATCGAAATCGGTAGTTCGTCGATCAGGAAGTACGAGTTACCTCTGGTACGCCGACGTTGCTACTAGAAAAGAATTCTTCCAGAAGGATGTTGCGCGAATGGTCGTCGTATTCCGCGCTGCTCCTATCAGAAGGGCCGAGGAGGAATCTTTCCGGGTTAAGGAACAGCTGTGTTTTATCTGGTCGTTCAACGAAAAGCAGTTTGTTCTTCGAGTCTCTCGTCCACAGCAAGAGATTTTCCACAAGCAGCTCGTGATCCTCGTACACCCGTTCTGCAAGATGGAAAAATTCGTCAGTTTCTAGAATTCAACCACCGACGATCCACCGATTAGAAGAAAAAATATACTCACCCATGAAAAGATCGGGCAAATGTTCGACTACCGCCCACTTCGGATCCATTGGCACGTGGTTCTTGTCGGCGAGCAGCCTGCATACATGAGCTACGCTCATTCCCTCGTCGACGAGTAAACTTTTCCCGCTGCCATCCAGCGTAAACGCTTTAATGAACAGCTTCTGAACGCTCGCCTCGCGCATCTTCTCCAACGCCAATCGGATCTTCTCTGCTTTGACTCGGCTTGCAGCGTCTGCCGAATTTTGGGCGATTATATTATTATAATAATTACTCCTATACTATATATATCCTATCTATCCTATATTATAATTACTCCTACTATATTATTATAATTACTCCACTTTCGATCGGTTTGCCTGCATCGAAGCGGCTACCGATTCGTTTTCGCATTTGTTTTCCGATATAATTCAGTACAGTTATTTCGATAGTCAACATACTCGCTTTGTTTCGGTCTTGAACAAAATTGAAACACTGAGAAAGATGGCCAAATCTCCATCTGATTCTCTTGTAGTCTGCTTAAGCGACGAGTCAGACACCGCCCACGTTGCAGGCGCGTCGTGATTAATCGTTCGATGCAGCGGAAATTACGTTTTTCATAAGCGAGAGGTAAAGCAGGAGATTTGTTGAACTTGATTTTATATTTTTTTCATTCTCATATCGGAATAAATGGACTGCAGATTTTATAACGAAAAGTATTATGTGGCAATTATGGTATAGATCAAAAGAATTCAAGTATGTGAACACATTATGTTCAGTTCGTCGTAATTGTTAATATCTGATTTACGGAACTCGTCGAAATGACGAGTCACTAATTTTTTAATTTACGATTATTCATATCGTAAAGATACATTTACGAGTTATTCATTCAATTTATATGTTACAATAACTATAATTTTATATGTTACAATAACACTTGCTAAAAATTAGAATAAGTGTCTTATTGTTACTCTTATAAACCAATATAAAGCAGCTGTTTTTTTTTTGCTCCGAAAAATCTGGTGTTAATGAAGAAGTAGATACAACAATTTGAGTTAATGCTATAAAACGATTGTATGTATATGCAAATTCAGTAACATTTAGTAGTATCAAATCGAGTGATTTATATTATTTATGGCATTTAAGT